TTAGGGCTGACAAGGCTAAACCCTAAACCCTAAACCCTAAACCCTAAACCCTATAAACCCAAAACCCTAAACCCTAAACCCTATAAACCTAAACCCTAAACCCTAAACCCTATAAGCCCTATAAACCCTAAACCATAAACCCTAAACCCTAAACCCTAAACCCTATAAACCCTAAACCCTAAACCCTAAACCCTATAAACCCTAAACCCTAAACCCTAAACCCTAAACCACTGTAGCCGTAGAAGGCTCAGGGCCTTGGAGCACGGAAGCTTGCCATGCTGTATCCTTACTGGGTTTAGGGTTTAGGGTTTAGGGTTTAGGGAGTCTCCATTGTAGTTCATTTTTGGGGATACCTTATAGAATCCTTAGTAGAAAATTGGTGAAACAAAAAAAGGAACTACAATGGAGACTGTAGGTAATAGTTGGAAACGCAATGGCCGCAATCCTTAAGAGTAATGTATAGGGAATCCCCACACTAATTGTCCTTAATCCGGTTTCAACTGTTTGGGGTTTACTATAGTAACTCCAGATGGCCGCTTGTAGTGATCGTAGTGGCCAGCCCAGTCTGTCCTGGTTTCTGAGGCTATGCCGTCGGTGTGCCCTGATACCAGTTGCCAGCTGAAACTCAGCGAAAATATGTAAGCCATTGCATGTGTTGCAGTGCTTGGCTGCAATCTTCGTGCTTGCGAAGCAATGTCAGCACAGTTCCCTAATAAAGCCACTCAGGTCCTCACACCCGCCACTGTACTGTACTAACCTCATAAGAGCTGACAATGCTGCAGGCCCCATAGCAACAAACTACCGAAGGGGCGACCTTTCCGAAGTTGCTTGGCACAGTTTTCGTGCATGCCGTTTCGTGCCCGTCATTTTCAATGCATGCGCTACCATCTATTCGGCTGGAAGCCAGATCGTCGCGATTCAGGGTTTACGAACGATCTTGGATTGAGGCCGGGTTAGTTGTCTAGAGCTTTGTAGCTGGATAGTTACTTGGAACATCTTTCAGCAGTATTCTTGAGCGGTCCTTATGACAGTAATAGTTGTAGTATGTTATGGTACAAAATTACCCTCCCCCCAAAACAAAAAACTGTATTTACGCCCTCACATGAGGCCTAGGACGTAGGGCCTGTTGATGATGGATGAGTCCAGCAGCGCAGGTGAGTACGAAACGCGCCCTAATACTGGAAGTGCTTGGCGCATGGTCTACAGTTTAGCTCTCTTGCTCTTGGGGTAGGGGTTCTTAGGAATTCGCGACCCCAAGCCTGAAGCATGAAGAGTATAAGCATTGCAGAACGGCCAGAACCCACAGCACTAAACTCCAAACCGGAACCCGGGGTTTGCTTTGTTGTTTAGATTAAACATCTGCGGCCCCCGCCTGAAGTGGGAACTCGAAGTACCGAATGGCATATCCTGTGCTTTGAGGCCCAAAACCTGACAAACCCACTGCAGAGTTTACCTGTAGCCGCAAGCCTTGCAAAGAACAGTAATTAGGGCGTGACTCACTTGATTGTGGGATTGTCCTCCTTCAGTGTTGGAGGTAACTTGAGCCACAGTAGGTGGTGGCAGTAGTATAGTAGTAGTAGATGATCGTAGTAGCAGCAGTAGCAGTAGTAGCGGTAGTAGTAGTAGTAGTAGTAGTAGTAGTAGTAGTAGTAAGCAGTAGTAGGGGGAGGCTCGGGTAGCACTAGTAGTCGCACGCCCAACAGAAACAATCCTTGCGGAAGCTCATGAGCAATATTGCTTGACCGGGATTCATGGACTCGCATACACCAAAACTAGGATGACCAGGACAAGCAACTCTGTTGGGAAGTTTCTTTTGCGAACAGCGCATCCATTGAGGAGACCTGTGCACACTGCATCTCTGGTTGGTTTTGCGCCAGTATGCAGGAAGGCTCAAGCAGCATGGATTGGTGGACCCCCTTAAAGAAAGGTTTAAACGCCAGAATATGCAAATTTTGTCCGAAAAAGTCTGAGCGCGTTGCCGGTTTTCTGTCGTGAAGCCTTCAGTGCTTGCATTTCGCAAGGACCCCGAAGCCTTGTAACTCAGAAGATACCTTCATACTCAAACCTGTGACTGCTGTATCCAGGATAATGTAGTATTCCGTAAGGTTATCATGATTATACCGCAGTATGTACTGCAATTGCTGAGCCCTGTTCAAATTATTATCAAGGCCCTTACATTAGGATCCTTAGGCCTTAGGGAAGGTTTTTAAAACCCTAAACCCAAAGCCCCTAAACCCTAAACCCAAAGCCCCTAAACCCTCAACCCTCAACCCTAAACCCTAAACCCTAAACCCTAAACCCTAAACCCTAAACCCAAAGCCCCTAAACCCTGAACCCTTACTTTCATCCTGAGGCCCCGGGCCTTTTGCCAAAGCCCTACAGCATCCTGAATCCTGTGGCTTACCAGGGTTTAGGGTTCATAAGGGTTTAGGGTTTAGGGTTTAGGGTTTAGGGTTTAGGGTTCATAAGGGTTTAGGGTTTCTTAAAGGTTTAGGGTCTATTAGGGTTTCTTTAAAGGTTTAGGTTTTTTCGGGTTCTTAAAGGTTTAGGGTTTGTTAGGTTGAGGGTTTAGGTATCCTAAACCCTCCAAACCCACAGCCCTAAACCCCGAAATCCTCTAACCCCTTCGCCCTAGACCCTAAAGCAATAAACCGTAAAACCCTGCAAGCCCTAGTCCCTAAACCCGGTAAACCCTACACTCCTTTTGATCCCTAAACCCCGAAAGTCGTCCACTGAGTCGTCCACCTAAAGTCCTTTGAGGCTCAAGTCGAGGCTTCCGATCGACAAAGCAAAGCCCAACACTTTTCGCAGGGGGTTCCCTGTAAGGGTGTCTTTAGGGGGTTCCTTGTTAGGGGCTCCTCAAAAGAGCTCTATGAAGGTTTCATAGGATTTTGTGCGGGCGTTCGTTTAACACTATGGGTGCTTTCTTCAGGGCCCCAGAAGAAGGGTCCTAGTACGTGGAGTCTATATTAGTGTCCCTCATGATCTGAAACTCCTGTGCAATGGGTGCAAACCCAATCGGGCCCCTGTATAAACGCCTAGAAACACCCTGCAATGCTACTTGAAGCCGAGACAGAATCGCCCAACCCTTCAGAAGCCAACCTCGCACATCGAAACCTAAATCTATACTAATCCCTTAGTGCTGGCCTTCAAGACGCCTTTGCTTATCGTTGGCGCTCGGCGGTGAGTACACCGGCTCCTTGCCCCTCGTCTGAGAAGTTGGGGTAGTCCTTCGCAGCTCTACGCTCTGGGCTGAAAGCCATAATCCCATACTCAAGGAACATGTCATTACCACAAAATTTTGCTGACGAAGTCCGGTGCCAACTTCCGTGCACCAGGCCCCTAAACCTTACGTCAGAGCATTTCAAGCTTGGTTATGGACGACGGTTTCGGGACACTTTCCTGATTTCGGCGAAGGAACTGCCAAGCATTACCCAACCCCTGCAATAAATGAAAGCCAAAATTAATTCCAATGCTGTTCCTTTCCTTATCGTATTCACAATGGGTCTGAGGTTGAGCCCTTGACAGACTACTCTCAACCAAGGCATGTGCAAAGCATCAGTCGTTTCTTCTGCCGAAGCAGACACCTGACAAGTTGCTTTTACCTGACTAGTGTGCTTTCGATGTGATGTCAGTGCAGCACTGCACGCCGCCGAAGCAGAAGCATATCATGTTTTCCGAGACAACTGTATACCACCTCCCCAGCCGCGACGGGTGCTCTGGACTCTGGAACATGACCCCGATCTACCATGCCGCGCTCAGCCAGACGAACAGGAAATTGCAGATCGAATGGTGGCAAGTGAGAACAGACTCTGTTTGGAACTTCGATCCCTTGATTGCTCTCACCGCCAGGAGATACAGTGCGGTGATATCGAAGGTGGTCAAACGTAATTATAGCCAACCAAGCCAGAAAGTCGCAGCCCTGGCATTGCAGCAGAATAACTAGCACGAGCTTTGCTGAGGGATCTGTGTGGTCCTGTGCAGTTCGATAATTGGAACAGATTGCCATGATATCAGATATGCAGCTTCTAGTTACCATGGCCCCATAAAGTATCAGGCCCACCGCAATGCTCAAACTAAACGAACCTGAGAGTCAACTTCATTTAAGGCCTGGTGTATAACCAAGGCCCGGCTTTAAGGGCTTTAGGGCTACCTGTTGTATTTAGGGTGGATTGTCAGGCTCAGTGTTTCTCTGCGGCCTTTGTTTTTTAGGGTCCACACACCCAGCCCTAGACCCTAGACCCTAAACCCTAAACCCTAAACCCTAAACCCTAAACCCTAAACCATAACCTAAACCCTAAGCCCTAAAAACCGTCCCGACACCCAACCCAAGAAGGCCTTGCCCTGCCCCGAGGCCTTCCATGACTGGGACGCTGAATGTGCCGGACCAGGCGACTGACAGCCTAAAAGAAGGGGTCGGAGTTTAATTCAGATATTCCGTTATAGCCCCCGCTTAAAGATAATATAGTGTGTGTATATATATATGTATATATATATATATATAACTGTATATATATACATATATATACACCTGTTTATACCGTCTACCCAACAACCACTTTAACCTCTACTTAGCAAGGCCCCTCTGTTAGACTGGGAGTAGCATGTAGCAAAGGGTTCGGCGGCCACAAACCTGCGAGCGTAGCCTCTATAGTGCTTGTGGTGAAACCCTAAACCCTATAGCCGTTAAGGGTTGCGACTTAAGCGTTTGCTTCAGACTGCAGCCGCTTTGAAGGTGAAGGGCTGAAGTTGCGGTATACTTGACATAACGGTCAACCGGTTAGCGGTACCATTGCCGGATAATTCATTTGACACGGTCTGCTATCTTAGAAAGGCACATAAGTTGGTGAATGCCCCATGTCGCGCTTCGGTGTTGAGGGGTTTTGCCGTATAGTCTGATACCAGGATCTTCTAGGTATTATTAGGGAGACCCCTTAAAAAGGACCCAGCTTAACCCTACTTATGGCTCTCTTAAAAGGGATTTTTTGGAGAGGATCTATATCCCCAAGGGTCCCCTTAATCCTAACTCCTAGGATCCTAGCACACCGAAGCCAAAGCCCCAACATCCTCGACCTGGGTTCTTGTTAAGGGATTTAGTTTAAGTTACCAGAATAGGGATCTATAGTATAAATAATATGGTTTCCTTATCATGGTAACTTATACAACTTACATCCCTTAAAGAAGAACCCAGCAACTGAAGGGCTTCGGTGAAGCATTCAGGTCGTGCTGAGATGGGAAAGGTTCCCAAAGGTTCTTGTTGCTGATGTGAGCCACTGAACGGCCCCTGTCCCTGATACATAACGGAGTAGAATCTTAGCAGTTAGTGTCGAGTCCTGTTCCACACAACCCCAAATGCCAGACCGAAAGCCCGAAAGCCCTGAACCCCAATGGCTGATGGAATGCAAAAGTCCTCAAAAACAAAAACCAAACCCCCAAAACCGAATTATTAAGCCTGATACCCTTAACGCTGAAGGCGCTAAACCGTAAACCCCCAAACCCCTAACCCCTTATAAACCCTACGAGTTCTTAGCCATAAAACCCCCTAGGCGATAACCCACCTCCCCCCTCCCGGCGCCTCGCTTCATCGAAGGCCGCAGAGGCCGATCACAATGACGTCATCGCATCGATGAACTCGATCATTCTCACGTCCGGGCCCGAAGATGTCGTTTTGGGGGGTGGGGTGGGGGTGGGGGGGATTAGTGGTTTAGGGTTTAGGGCTTTGGGCTCAGGCTTGTGGGGGGGGAAGCTTTAGGGCTCAGGGTTTAGAGTCCCTGGATGCCGAGTATGGGTTTAGGGTTTAGGGTTTAGGGTTTAGGGTTTAGGGTACGTTAGGTTGCTATAAGGCTTGTAATGTAGGGCCTGAAGAATTCGAATTCTTTCTGCCTTGCTTCATGTAGTGTTTCCTGAAGAGATCGTATTGTACAGTAGACCGCCAAAACCTATTCTGGTTATTGAGACCCCTGCATAAATGTAGACGGCATGTGTAGGTTGCTGGGTAAACTTGGGCAAAGGGAAAATAAGGATTGGATATTGTTGCAGTTTACAGAAGGATAACAAGCCCATTAGTCATCTGTACTTACAGGATCTGGGGACCTACTTAGTATGCTCATAAGTAGGTTCGTCCGGGTTACATTTATTTGCAAGCACCCTTTTGTATACCGTTATTAGAGTCCTGCTTATTGATTAGGCCCCATGAGCCTTGGAATAAGTGACCGGGCCCTGGAGATTGAAGATGGTTCTACAGTCTGACCATTCTGTTTCGGTCGAGGGCTTCTTCATCATAGAGTTTTCAGGATCCATATGAGTTTTGTTTTGATTTCGGAGCTTTGGAGGTTTCTGTTTTACCATAGGAGGAGGAACTTGCGGTCCTAAAGTGGCTATTTGGCAAGAGCTTCTCATTCACAACGCACCCAATCTGAAAGCTGTATATGGACGTGGGCACATTCCTGCAGGCCCTTCGGCACAGCGAAAACGGCGGCAGAACCGAAAAACCAGGGCGAGAAGCACGCTAATATAAGCTTTCTGTCATGGTGGAGGCAGAAACGCTCAATAAGGCTGAGGCGGCTAAGTCCAAGAATGCTGATTTGTTTTCGGCTGTCGAAGCGAGTGCCTTCTTGGACAAGCTGACTGTGCTTCTCGGCCCCTGAGTGTTTGAACTTGGCCGACCCGGACACCTTGTATCTCGAAGAATGATGGAAATGCTAAGATCCTACAACTCCATGTTCCGGAATTCCTGAAATCGCAAAAACGTAGATGTGGGTGTGGGAGTGTAGGATTTATAGGGTTTAGGCCGAGGGTTTCTTCCGGAGATTACTTTAAGGCTTACGCTTTCGCGAAGCTCGAGAGCCCACGAACCATCGACCCGAGCCCTCAGGGGCTCTCTTCTTGCCCTGATAGCCATCGGCTACCGCATCAACACGCCACGCACCCAATCTCTCGCTTGGTTTAGGGTTCCGTTTTCCCCTAAACCCTAAACCCTAAACCCCAAACCCAATCTCTCGCTTGGTTTAGGGTTCCGTTTTGTTGTGTCTGGGGGCCTAAGTCATGCCGAAGCAGAACCTCTCAGAGGTAAAGCCCGGCCCAACCACGAAGAATCAGTATGATTGTATCAGCCTAAGCCGAAAACATCGTGGATGTCAGCAGCTGGACCTAATCTCAGGATCGTCCAGCCTTTTTGCAACCCCCACATTTTTTAATCTAAGTGCTAAATCCCGGTTTCCAACTTCGTAATGGCAAAATATGTGATCAGATTCAGATAGTATAAGAAGTGTGCCCTCATTCCATCAGCGGATGGCCCCCAAAGCCCAAAACCCTCAGAAGAAATAGGACTTTTAGCCCTCAGTCCCTCAGTCTCGGAATTAGACCTTGAACGTCTATATCCCTAAGACTCCCAACAGCCCAAAGTAGGTTCTCTTTGTAGACTCTGGACCGCAAAGTAGGGGTCTGTTGGTCTACTTGGAGTCTTAGGGTATGTTAGATGCTACCCAAAGCTACTATAGCCCGCCTTCTTTGCTCACCAATAACTCCAGTTTCAGGCATCGTATCACGGCCGTACAAAGCAGTAGAGGATGGTAAGTTTAGGTGCACTCCAGACTGTAAGCTGGATTCAAAAAACGCCTTCTGGTCTCGTCTTTTTCTCGTGGGTGAACGTCTTGGACGGTCTTGCATGTACCTTGCGCTCCAGCTACCATACATTATTTATTTTATTGGGCTAGGCTCCCTGTAGGGTTACAAAGGGGCCTTACCAAAAAACATCATAGACTACGCTGGGTTCCAGGTTGGGCTCGGCGTGGCATACTTCGGGATTCCAGATGCGGGTGTAGGTTTGGACTTCTCCTGTTTCCCAGACTTGGACCAAGAGTTTAATTAGTTTGGGGTTTGGGGTTTACATGAGTCAGCACACTTGCAGTGTTGGGGGGGTGCCATAACCACGTGGCCGACAAGTTACTTCCTGCAAGGCTCAAGCTCAGGCACGCGTTGTAGGCTTTGCCTCCAGAACGCAGCTGTTTGCGTACATCTGTTTCAGCCTTCGCATCCTGACACGCCCCTGGGCCTATGCCGAGCCGACGTCCGGAACATCCAACCAAATATCTGTTCCCTGGAGGGCCTTGGACCTGACACGAAACCTTTGAAACTGTGCAACTGCCCCTTCTCGTATCCCCCGTAGAAGCCCACATTCAAGTTCAAATCGGGAAATCAGTTATCCAAATCGTGTGTTCAATATTGACCAGGCCAGCAAGTCGGTCCCTACTGCTACTGCTACCCCTACCTACTCCTACTCCTTATTGCCACTGCTACTACTCCTACTTCCATTGCTGCTGCTGCTACTACTACTACTACTCCTACTACTACTACTACTACTACTACTACGACTACTACTACTCCTACTACTCCTACTACTACTCCTACTACTACTACTACTACTACTACTACGACTGTCACCACTACTACCACCAGCACTACCGCAACCCTAAACTCCTGCACCCCAAACCCTAAACTGTTAGACCCTACACAGGCTCTACACTCACACATGTCTAAACTCTTCTAAACCCTAAACTCTTAACTCCGTACCCCGAAGCTCCGAGACCCGAAATGCCAACTTCCTAAACCTTCAACCCTATACTCCTGAACCATCTTCAGCCGGTAAGCCCTGCAAACCCTCTAGCCCCTAAGCAATGGCATTTCTCGCCCTGCCCTTGCGATCCGACTTCGGCACACCTTCCGCACGGGCGGCGCTGCCCCGAAGTCGGTGTGGCCTCCGCGCGCAGAGGACCGTATCTCGGATCTTCACCTAACTTCTTGAGGGTCTTGGGTTTAGGGTTTAGGCGGTTTAGTGTTTTTGATAGGGCAGTCCGGGTTATACAGGTAGGGTTGATAGGGGTTGATAATTTGATTCAGGGTTTCAGGATTCAGCATAGGGCCTCCTGGGGTCTAAACCCGAATAGAAGTAGATCTAGCGTGCCGGACAGTCATAGCTTAGACCCCTAAACCGACCCGGAAGCCCTGAGCTCTGAACTTTCGCCAGAACTGGGCTCCGCATAGAAATTGAGTTTCCTTTTCGTTTTAGGGTATAGGGTTTAGGGTTTAGGGTTCATTAAGTTAGGATAGGCCTTGCCCATTTTGGGTAATTGCACCACCGTGGCCCAAATCATAGCCATAATATCCTAAAACACTTTACCATATAGAAAATAAGGTGCAATTATCCAAAATAGACAAGGTAATAGGGTCGCCCGTTTTGGGTTATTACATCACCGTGAACATATAGTTCACAACTAGTGGCTCATTATCTTTGAAATACTCTATCTCATCCTATTTATCAGATGATGTAACATCCCGAAATGGGCAAGGTTAGGTTTATTCATTTTATGGGGAATAGTA